AACCTATCATGAAAATAGAGTAATATGATTCAAATAAAGTAAAACTCCTTTAGTACAAATAAGTGAACATCAAAGGTTTTCGGGCTTCCCGCTAAAATTCTTAACAATTCTTTGTAAATTTGTTACGGTTATCACGCAACTCAATTAGAGATTTGAGGATACAGCCATCTGATTTTGTATTCAATAAGAGTTTAACAAAATGAAATCATACTGACTGTATCGAGTTTTTCAAGATTTGAAAACTTTGATATGTTGAATGAACGATATGGAAATAACGAACAGTATTCTGGAGCTCAAAAGTTCATAGTGCAATAAAGAACTGGAGAAGAGCAAACACGGACCTCAAAAACTACTTTATTCTTACAATTCGTTGTAAAATTTTACAGTTATAATGAACTCTGATATGATATTTTCAGAAATAGCTAGTAGCCCAAATGTTTCCCTGTAGAATTTAAAAATATTAAGTTCAGCATTTTTTGTATTCATTTTTTTTTAAATTAAAAAATTGGATATATTGAATGAACTACTGTACTAGTATATGGAGTAACAAGAGATGTTTGTAAAACCACAAGACGAAAGACCACCTTTAAGCAATCGCTTAATGGTAGCTTAATGGTGACTTAATGGTGGCTTAAAGATGTTAATTCCTTTAAGCCACCATTAAGCCACCATTAAGCTGCAACTTACAGGTGCTTAATGTCCAAACTTCATTAAGCTACCATTAAGCCACCATTAAGCTGAGCTTAATGGTGACTTAATGGTCAACCCTCATTAAACTTTTACGCATCTTATATAGAATCTTTGAACTAACTTTTAGTTATTTTAATATCATTTCCCAAAATCTATTCCAACTCATAATTTTGTCTCGATCATAATTTCTACGAGTTTTTTGTCAACATGCATAAACTTGATCACTGGGAACAAAGTTAGCTAATAGCCACAGGGGCTTGCTCGAGGTGTCTAATTTAAAAAAAAATCATTTACAGTGATAATAAAACAAGACATCCTGTATGAGAACCGTATATTATTTTTTTTTAAATAAATCATTATTAAATGCGTTGTTTTTATTTTTAGTGTATATGATTTTTAAAAATAAATAATTATTACACACCGTGAACAAGTCCTTGTGAAATATCTTAAATTTACAATACCAAAAATCAATTTGTTCTTAAAATTATCTATATTCGTGAACACAAAATATATATTACTTTTTAAAAACAAAATGGTATTTTTATTTCATGTGTTAAAAGAAACATTCTGCTACAGAATTCACAGGAATATAACTATATAATCTCATGAAAAAAAAATCTCTGTCCCTTGTTGGGGGGGGGGGGGGCTACTGGTATACAAATGTTTAGTTTTCAAAGATTGACTTTTACCATGAAAAACTTTTTAATGGCTTTTACATCATGAATAATTCTAATTAATTCGTTAATTTTTTTTAATAATGCAGCGATAAGTATCTGTCAAAATCTAGTCGGTCTTCAATGATTGTTATTTCAAAATCGATTTTCAGAGGAACGGCCGATCAGACTAAACATGACATCCGACCAGATGTATACACATTGAGAAACGGGGTAATATTAACAGATGATCAGTGTACAGTAAACCGACTGGTCAGACAATAGACCTTAATTAGGTGTCCCCCGTCCCCGGTTAACTAACAGGAAACTATACATACACAACGTACGTACACTGACAGATTTTAATGATCAATTATTTTTACAAAATTTAAATTTAATGCAAGCATATCACTAATTAAAAATTATGATTCATCGTAAAAAGTCAATTATTTTGATACCCATTATGATACGAAAAGAATTGAAACTGAATATGATATTCTAAAAAAAGTTTTTGTAAACGTAATTAACCAGGTAACTCTTACGCGAGGATTGTTACTAAATTGTTGACACAGAAACCGTTAATATCCGCAGTATATTAAAAATAATAGTAGAATTTGTTTTTTCCTCTTTTTTTTCGATGATAGATTTTTGGGTTTTATCTATAATTAATTTATTTTCAATCATGATTTAATGCTTACATTTCAAAATTTTCGAATAACAGAGCGAAGAACTCAATCACATAACATCAATCTAAAAGCCGAACTCAGTGTAGAAATATTAATGTGTTATGAGCCTTTCAAAAAGATCCACAAATAAAATTGTTTATATTTTGATTAATAAATCAATTCAACACTTTTGGAAATGTTCAACAAAATACTAGTAAATACCTTTACAAGTCCAAACAAATTTTGAAAAAAATAAAGGTTATATATTTAACATTTTCCTTCTATTATCAAGAGCGGCGATAGCCTAATGGATAAGACGTTCGCCTTGCAACCCTAAGGTCATTGGATCGCGCCCCGACTGAGGCGTTTTTTTTTTATTTTTTAATTTTGAATTTCGTTCTTTTTCATTATTTTTACCAAATCAAGATATGTGCGAACTCTACATTTATAATATTGAAAACAAATCACTATAAAAATAATTTTTCACCCATATAAACAATATTATTATACCTCTATTGATAATGCTCGAATTTGATTGGCTGGTAAGAAAACTTTAAAACACAACAATGACTCCAAATGGTACTGTTTACAGCAATACTGACCTAGGAATCATTGCACGTGGGATATAATGACCCGGTCATTATTTTTAATGACCGCTAAAAATGACCGCTTAATCAAAAATTCGTTTTTGAGTGAAGTTAATGCATAAAATAATAATTATTCGAAAAAAAAAACAACGTTTTTAAAATTGTGCATGGTCTCACTCTGTTTTGCATTACCATACAGAATACGGTAAAATTTTATCGTTACAATATATCGTTTCAATATATCGTTACAATTCAGTTCAATGGAATGTAGAAGCGGCTCTTTAAAGAGTTGAATTCTGCATTACATTTTGACTGAGTAGAGGAAAAGTAATCGTTAGTTATAACAATGTATGTTGCTATCAACCAAAAATTATTTTAATCAGTAAATCATGATGCAAAAACTTACACGACTTGCAGACGTCAATGTAAACAACTACACTATTCAGAGTATACCGAATTCCGATCCCGATCAAAGAAAGAATTGATAACAGTTAGATATTCGTACTTTTCAATATATACATCGGTATAATAAAACAATTAATTACCCCTTGTGAGTTCAACATGGTGAAATAAGGACCCTCGACCCGGCCCACTCGATGACCTGCCCTGACCTCGGCCGCTACGCGGCCTCGGTCAGGTAGGTCACCTCGTGGGGCCCGGTCTGGTTTTTTCACCATGTTGACCTCACATGGGGTAATTAATTGTATTTATCGACTGCGTAATGTGACTTAATGGTGGCGTAATGGTAGCTTAATGGTAGCTTAAAGGAGTTTGGACATTAAGCATCTGTAAGTCTAGCTTAATGGTAGCTTAATGGTGACTTAATGGTGGTCTAAAAGTTACCATTAAGGATCTGTAAGCCACCATTAAGCTACCATTAAGCTACATTCAAGCATCCATTAAGGACTTTGAGTTGGCTTAATGGTAACTTAATGGTGGTGTAAATGTTACTTAAAGGTGCTTAATGGTGACTTAATGGTGACTTAAAGACATTAAACCACCATTAAGGACCTATAAGCCACCATTAGACCGGACTTAAAGGGTGTGTTTCATATTGTGAACACTTATGCCCCTTCCCCCCAAATTAGACTTTTTTAAGTCCAAGAGGACATAATTCTGTCAATAATGGCGCGATCGTACCCAAAACAGAACTAGACGTAGATATTCATCAGATACATCTATATACTATATCTTATTTCAGTATTTGCAACCTCTGCAAAGAAAATGAATGGAAACTGCAAATAATTGGAAAATTTCTAAGTCACAGGGGCAGAACGGCGCGATCGTACACAAAAAAGAACTTGACCTAGATATTCATCTAAAAAAAAATCTGTACTATATTTTATTTCAGTATGTGCAACATCTGCGAAGAAAATGAATGAAAACTATGTGGACCGACAGACCGACATACCATCAGCTGACAGACAGACAGCAGCAAAGCAATATGCCCTCCCTTCTTCGAAGGGGGGCATAAATATATTGGATGATATCTTTAAAACTGAGCTAAACACTCATTTAAGAAAAATGAGAACAAGGGCGAAAGAAAAGCCGGGGTATAAATTTAAGGTTGATGCAGTTAAAAAGCTCTCAACAATATGTATTAGCTTATGAAGTTTAATAACACTATCTTGAATGGTACTTTAAAACTGACCATTTTAAAAGAGTGAGGTCAATATCAAAGTAAAGGTCAAGATCAAAAAATGTTGATGCAGTTGCATAGCTCTTATCAATATCTATCAGCCTATGAAGTTTGATGAAAATATCTTGGATAGTTTTTGAAACTAGCTTCGAACTGAGCTAAAGCAAAGTGTGACGGAAGGACGAAAAGACGGAAGGACGGAAGACGGATATGACAAACACTATATGCCCCGACCATATTCATGGCGTGGCATAACAGACAGTATTCAAGTTCAAAAGTCCACAAAGCAATACAGAATAAAGCAGAGCATTGACTTTATTTTAAGTACGTTTTTGTGTATAAAATTTACTTCATAACAAAGCCTTCATTTTCTGAAAGATGTTTTGTAAAAATTGTTTTCCTATTATATTTGGTAGTAATTCTTGAACAAAAACGTGTATGTTACGAATTCCATAGTCTAAGATATATTTACACGAATTCATTATATGGGTGTAACAATTACAGATACAGCAAATTAATTTCACACATCCCCAGGGCTTTGTTATAACCAAGATTTACTGTATCCATCATTATATTCATCATGTTTATAAAAAGAACTCAATGTGATCTGATTTTCCCCTCTCTTCTTCTCTAGCTTAAATAGTTGCTTGAAACCTAGACATTAAGCACCAAAAATCAAAATTGGCCTCAATGTGCATTCACAATTCATTACAATATAATCTCTAGTCAGTGTAATTTCTTTCTTCCAGCATGTTCTTTTACCTTTTTGGTAGTTGACATTCTTATAAACACTTATTCTTCGATCACCACCACAAATTTGCTCCTCATTTCCGCTGCATTTGGAACTGCATTCTTTGTCTGCTGTTTTGACACTTTGTGAAAGAGAATTCACACAGAAGCATTTACTGGAAGACTACAAAAGAAGCCATTTGTCAATTATCATTAAATTTTAGAGGTTAGACTCCGCTTTCGATTTACGTGATTTTTGAAAAGCTTTCATTCTAGTCTATTACATATAGTCAAGATTATGAATTATATTTAAACACAGTAAACTATATGTAATATTCAGAATGATGCTTCATTAACGAGCACAAGCAAAGCCAACAGAGAGCAAAATTACCAAAAAAAAAAATCCCAACAGGAATAAGCTCTATTCAGAATCTTTCAGAAGATCGAAGGTCATAAACGAAATATATTTGGAATGAAAAGCTCTCAAAATGTTTTATGCTGGTGATATTTTGGCAACTAAAGTTGAGGATACAGTAAAGTTGATCTTCACTTTTTTAAACAATGCAAAAACAATATTCAGCGAAAGATTTTTTTCATAAAGCAATGCATCATGAACATACGAATAATAACCTTCAAACCGTAGAACTGAGTATCCTGATGTTGACAGAATTCCTTACAATTTTCCACAGTCATAGAATCTGATGTATTATGTTTCCCGTTCAATGTCTTACTTGACTGATCTTGGAAGCATCCTACATACCCTGTGAAAATTAGAATAATAAATATAAAAGATAGGAATTCTTAAATCGTAGATTTGATCATGAATGCCAGAAAAAGGGTCAAGCCTTATATTAATTGTAAGGCCTGCTAATTTATTCTATTTCAAAGGTTCAAATTAATATCATAAAATAATTATGAGCACTGTTCTTATCAATAACATGTTTCAAAGATATTCAGTTTCCAGTGAGCTTTTTAGAAAATTGATCCGGCACTTTACCTTTGTCGTAGTTTCGATTTATATACAGACTTATCCTCCAATGTCCTCCGCAAAACTCATTTCCATTTCCAGAGCACAGATGACTACATTCTATCTCTCCCTTTCGAACCGTTCTTCCTCGATCACCACATAAACACTG